AACAGCAACTGGAAAGGTTAGATGGGAATATTAGGGGGCAGTGAGTTTATGTTGATGGGGAAAGTACAACTCCGTGAAGAAAGGTGTGAATGGCTGCCCACCTCAAAGCCACTGAATTGTACTTGTAGAAACTGTTGAACTGATGTGTGTTTGGCTGTGTAGATTCTAAACAACAATAAAATAAATAGTTTTTCAGAAAAACAAAAGAAAACATCACTACTCTGGAGCAAAGAACACAGCTATTCAGCAATGGGCGTAGAGTCCCCAAGCACTGGGGTTCTGTCCCCTGGGGCTGCTGGCAGATGAAGTACCTGCAGGGGTCAGCTGTCTCTCAAGAGGAAGCGAAGGGATGTTGACCCGAGAACCTACTGTGTTTCCAGCAGACACACCTGCGTTTGAGACTCGGCCCATCCCCTCATACACAAACGAAGAAGATCTCCCCCTTCCAGGGCGGCCATGAGAGCTAAGTAAGATGTTGGCAAGAGACCACCTTCATCAAAGACCCCAGTAAGGTCCGGCCCTTCCTCTCTGACCGTTTCTCCTCCTCTTCTCTGATGCCTTGGCTTGTTGGTTGCCGTCGATCCTGCTGCACCTCACGGCGACTTCATGGACAACAGAATGAAACACTATCCGGTCCTGCACCACCGTCCTCATCGCTGGTGTGTTTGACTCCTTTTTTTGCAGCTACTGTGTGTGGCAGCCACAAGCCAAGGAGTGGCTGTAGCTACCAGAAGCTAGAAGCGAGGCATGGAAGAGCTTCTCCCTCAAAGAACCAACACTGCTGATACCCTGATCGCAACCTCCCAGCTCAACCGTGAGGTGACAGCTTTCTGTTCTCGAGAGCCATCCACTGTACGGTGTTTGGGTACAGCAGCCCCAGGAGACTACGACAGGAGGCCCAGCCAAGGGCTAGAGGGCTAACCCCACTGCCTCGCACACGAGGACTGGCTCGGGCCTGTGAAGCAGATATTCTTGGCCTTGTTGTACAGGCAGGAAGACAAGGCCAGGCGTAGTGCCCATCTTTCAGACCTTGCTCCTTCCAACTCCCCAAGAGCAAGATGAGGAGAGAGGGGTTGGAGAACAGGTGAGGGGGCCCTGGCCCCAGGCATCTGCACAGGTGAGGAGAGGGGTCCCTAGCCCCAGGTATCATCGGTGCAGGCGAGGGATCCCTAGCCCCAGGGTTCGCTGCACAGTGAGGGGTCCCTAGCATGCGGAGTGGGGGGCAGAGCTGGGACTTGAGCCCTTTGGAGTTCCCTGAAGAGGGGAAGAGGGCTGGGGTCTGGAGGTGTCCTTGAGGGTCCCAACCCAACGTACCAGTGCAGACCAGTCCCGCGTCCTCGCTGTGGTCACAGTTGCTCCGACCCCAGGGGCTACGAGGACAGTCACGGAGAGCCTGCTCTCCACCTCCACACCCCACATCGTCCATCCACACGGGCCCCGAGCCTGGGCCAAAACGGGCACCTCCAGGGGCGGCCAGCGCCCCCCCACAGCCCAGCTCCCGGCAGGCCACCGCGGCGTCCCGCAGGTCCCAGCC